CTTATTATTTAGCTAGCACACCAATATCATCCTTATTTTATTCTCATATCTTATTTGTACTTACACTCTTATTTTTTCTTTCTTCTGTGAACAGTTGCACAGCAAGAAAAAAATATCCTGCAAGGGTTTAATAAAGTTATTCTGATTCATGAAGTCCTTTGGCAGAATTCAAATGAGCCATTTTAATCTAGAATAATTTCAGGATTACAGTGAGATCAATCGACATTAAAGTCATAGGGAAGTGATATGTAAATTTCAAATCATTCTGTATATAAATGTACTCTTTATCAGACGATATTGTCCCAAAATGTAGAAAATTTCTATTTAAAAAAAATCCTGTCTTAAAATCTGTTTTTTTTAATTTTTTTTTTTATTTTATACAGGCAGTTGGTTATAAGTCAGCTTGAACACCTAAATCTGGCAAATCCATGGTCATCTGTCAATCTATTTATTTTGGTCATAGCATCTGGATTCATATGTCGCAGCAAATATATGCAAAGGTTCAAATAAGAAGTAAGCATCATCTCCTTTCCCATTGAGTTCCGTCCCAGTGTTCACGGGGATGGACGTCTGTGTCTTCAGCAGGCGTAGAGCTAACAGAACTGGCAGCGTTGCGAGGCAAGGGCTCAAACATGTACGGCTGGAAGCCTTCTACATCAAACCAAGCTTCTGCCGCCCTGGCGTCCTCTTCCACAACATCTTCGTCCCCGCTTTCTTCCTCTGAATAAAAAATGGATGACAGAGGAGACTCATCCACGACTCCGACACCAAACTCTCCTCCTCATGCATGTTTCCGCTGTCCATAGTGTTCCTTGACAGTGTTGTTTCTAAGTCACCAATTTAGTGCTACTTGGTCCCAATGGAATTTCCCATTGGGAACCTACTAGCACTAAGTTGCTAACTGGTTAGCAAGATGCTTCCGAGAAACCGGCCACAACCAAACCTGCTTGTTTTTGGAGCTCATTTTCCAAAACATTTGACCATATAACAACCAATAATAGGTTTCCTAATATACAGCCATGCTTACTGGGCAGGGTGTTAATGTGAGCAGAGGTCCTTAAAGGGTGAAAACTGTTTACCAATCAGTTACATTTAAAGAAGATAAAAACTTTAAAACAAACAGCCCAGAAGCAAGAAAGGAATTCAAGTTGCCTTTCAGTTTATGAGTCTGAGGAGACAGTTGGTTTAGAAAGAAAAGAGAATGTTTTGATAATTGATAAAGCAAAAAGGTCAGAAATAAAAGATGCAGGCACAGAGTGAAAGAGAGACTGAGAGCTCCCTGGAGTTAGACAGTAAGAGATCCAGACAGCTGTGCCTCAGGCAATAAAAGACAATGCATGAGTTTATTAAAAAGGATTTTAAAGCATTTCATTTCAGCTCAGGGAAGATTTATAGATTGTTGCAGATGTTGGACTGAATGTTTTTATAATTGTTCACGTCTGCAATTACTTTGGAGAAAGTCTACTTTGGAAATGGAAAATACTGGACGAAATATTAACTAAATAAAACAAGTTTGCAGTAACAGTTAATGGGAGCATAAACAGTAATATTTCCTCAGACATCCTGATTTTCTCTTAATAACATACCATAGAGCAAACATTTTGACATTAAATTTGAAATCGGGCATACTGTCCTCATTAAGCACGAATAAATATGAGCTCCGGGCAGGGGCAGATTAAGGAATTATGGGGCCCTAGGCAAAGACAGGCAGGGGACCCTCTGAATTGAGAAGACAACAGATAAAACAGACCCATTATACAGATACAGAAATTGTAATAGAATGGACATACATTATTTGTTCTACATTTTGTCCCTTTCCTCTTTTCTTCTTGTTTTCCTCTCTATGATTTGTACTCAGCTGACTTTTCATGCTGTCTCAGAAGGAATTAAAGATTTTTTCCAAGCACTAAGCTCACTTAGCTGTGTTTCCAAAAAGGCAAAAGTAAATAACCTAGTCCTTCTTTTCACTGTAGACAAGCCATGATCTGCTTATCTGTTCTCCATTTTTCATTTGGATGAAATAATAGCTGCATGAATCATGACAGCAGACAAAATAGAGGAGAGCAGGAGGCGGGGTTAACAATCTACTTGCTCTGGAGAGCAGATTTAGCTGCTTTTAGATGTTGTCTCCAAAGTCTCCAGTAGCAGAAAAAAGTCGCTATATTTGGTGCTAAATGCTTTTTTGAAATAAAAGAACTAGAGTGGTCTGAAAAGTCACTAAATATAGCAACAAAAGCTCTAAGTTGGCAACACTGCTCTTTGCATGGTTTGTTTTCAAATGGTTTGCTGCTGTCTGTTTGGACCTTTCTGAACATGTGCAGCAAATGGACTGATTCAATATGGTGGACATTGAAGGGGGGGGGGGGGGTGCGAGACCCACTTAATGTTATAAGCATTCTCATGGTATTTTAGCGAAAGCTATATCAAAAACATAATTAATGTGCACAAATAAGGAATAGTTGCATTAACCATTCATGTAAACAGTGTTTTATGGGGCCCCCAGGAACTTAGGGCTCTAGACAACTGCCTAATATATCCTAATGGTAAATCCTCCCCTTCTTTCAGGTCAAGCAGGCTCTGAAAAGGTGACTTCCTTCTCAGAGCCATAGCCAAATCCTGTCAGTGGATGTTAACCAGACAACTAAACAACACTGAAAACCATCTTTTAGATGCATAATAATAATTAATTGTGTCCACGTGTGCATTGCAAGTTTTTATTTTATTTTATTATTTTTATGACTATAGTAGTAGCTATTCAAAATATCCCTACTTTCCTTGATGGGACCTTGGCTGGTCCCCTACAATTCCTTTTTAAACATATATTTTTGTACTACAGAGCACTCAAAATGGCCCTTCCCAGTCAAACAGCCGAATGGCAGCCCACTTCCCTGCAACTCCCAGCAAAATCCCCTCCAACTTCCAACCACTGGAGTGACCCCCCTCTTGAATATTTTTTTACTCTTGACTCCACCCTTTCACTGAATTACAGGAATTACCAGGACATTATGCTTCTCTTTAGATCTTAATGTCCACAAATCATGACTAACAGAATATTTTCATACAAATATATTTAAAAAGGAATTGTAGGGGACCAGCCAATGACCCATCAAGGAAAGTGGGGACATTTTGAATGGCTACAACTCTGCTGTAACATTTATTTTTCATTTTGGATCAATAAAAGTTTGGAATCAAACTTAATTTAATTGAAACAAAACGCCCTTTATAGAAATCAGTCCCTCAATTTGGATCCTAGCTTTTGCGTTGGCATCAATAATCCATTTTAGAATTATGCTAATTAGCATTTACAGTAGTAGCCGTTCAAAAATTCACCACTTTCCTTGATGGGCCCTTTGCTGGTCCTTGGCTGGTCCCCTAATATTCCTTTTTTAACATCAATATTTATACTAAAATATTCTTTCTATGATGATTTGTGGACACTAAGATCTAAAGAGAAGCATCATCTCCTGGTCAGACCCTGTAATTTAGTGAAAGGGTGGAGTCAGAATAAAAAAAAATATGCACGAGGGGGTCACTCCAGTGGCTGGAAGTTGGCTGCCATTCGACTGGTGTTTGACTGGGAAGGGCCATTTTCAATGGCTGCTCCTGTAACAGCTTACATGTAGCAGCCCTTTACATAAAAAAAACCCCAGAAGACTCTCTGACAAACAGTTCGAAGCATCCAGCAGGACTCTTGCATCTCCAGAACTCTTTTCCAACCAAAAAATGAGCATAGATGGATGCTGTCTGTGTTTGATAAACATTGTTGTACAGTTTATTGCTTTATATTGTGATAAAATTTCACATAAAGGAAATAGTTATATTCAAGATCATAAAACCAAAATTTTTATAAAGAATCACAAGCAAAGCTCCTCACAGGTCAAATAAAACACAGTATAAATCTTACAGATGACATACTTTGCTTTGCCTGCAGTGGCTCCTTCACAAGGATAACGCCACTAGCTGGAGTTAGCATGAGAACTAAACTTAGAATAGAATAGAATAGAATAGAATAGAATAGAATAGAATAGAATAGAATAGAATAGAATAGAAAATTCCCTTTATTGTCCCAGAATGGGAAAAATCTTGTGATTACAGCAGCAAAAATATTATGTAAAAAATGGTCATACAAATAAGGACTTTAGACAAATGTATAAGAATAACAATAAACAATGATATACTGTTAAGTGTTTTAACAATACAAAAAACTGTGCACCTGGAGAATAAATAACCAATATTCAGCTATGGACATTTTTACAGTAACGGATATTTGAAAATAGCAGCAACATCAGAGATGTGTAAAATGACAGCGGCATGTTATATAACTGATAAAATCTGTGCAAAATCATCATAAATGTAACAACTGATTGAGGTTGTTGGGAACAGTGGTGGTTCTAAAGTCGTCCAGCTGCTGGGAGGAAGGATCTGTGATAACGCTCCCTGGTGCATTTAGGGTGCAGCAGTCTGTCACTGAAGGAGCTGTCCAGTTCAGCACCAGCTTCAAGCATGAGGTGACATTATCCAACAGAGATGTTCATTTAGTTAGGATCCTTTTGTTTCCCGCCTCCTGCACTGAGATACCACATCTACAAGGTGTAGATATACATTTAGATGGTTCAGATGTCTTTCATACCTATCTACATAACTCAGTATTTAAATGAAAATAAAAATTAATAATGTGATGAATGAATTGCATATCTTCAAACTCTGATAATTGTATCAGTTGTCTGCACTTGCAGAACCTCTAATGGGAGCAGAAAACAATGCACTAAAGACCACAAAGTGCTATATATCCCACATCTAAACACATTGCTGACTTTAATCTTAGTGCATTTTTTTCTATAATTCGATAACTGACTCTAAAACCTGCTGACAGTGTAAAACCTTTTTGGTAAATTGAAAATAAGCCTCTGATCTATCAGTGACACAGGGGTTCTCTTTAATGTTGGTGCAGATTTATCCCAGTTCCACTGAGTCCTCCACTCTGATTGTTTGTCCTGCAGGCTGCATGAGGGATCTACGCCTCAACGGTCGTTACATGCCGCTGGACAGCCAACCACGGGACGGGGTTTCCCAGGTCAGCGCTCAAGGTCTCTCCCCTGGATGCTCATCTGACTCCTGCAAGAAGAACCACTGTAAACCTCCTTTTACTTGCGTGGACCTGTGGAGAGTACATGAATGCAGGTAAACCCTCAGTCTCACTTTGAAGTAGGAATACACCTTCAGCACTTTCAGTCAAATTCAAAGACTTATCTGAATGTTCTTAAGGGGTACACTGCAAAAATGATCTATACTGGAAAAAATCTAGATCTAGATAAGTCATTTTTTCTTAAAATAAATTAATTTTTCTGGGATTGAGGAGGTAAAAGAGATATTTTGCCAATGGAACAAGATAATTTACACTTAAAATAAGGAAACACAATTGTATTGTCTAATTTCAAGTGCATATTATCCATTTATCTTATTTTAGGAGTAAAACTACTTATTCCATTGGCAAACTATCTAGTTTGACTGCTCAAATCAAGGATAAACACTTAATATAAGACATTTTTACTTCTACTACCGTAAAAATAATTCAACATTTCCAGAATTAAGTGTATTTACCCTCACTTTGAGTAGGAAAAAAAGAGTATCTGCCAATGGAATGAGTATTTTTACTCTTAAAATAATATAGTCAGATAATATGCACTTGAAATAAATTGGCAATTGTTTTTTCTTATTTCAAATGTAAATTGTCTTCATCCTTTCTCAAAGTGTTTCACTTATATAATCAATTCAAGAAAGAATAAACTTATTTTAAGAAATATTATTTTCCTAGTGTAGAACTTGATTAGGAACAAAGAACTTTTTCATAATTAACCAAATATAGACCAATATATTGAACTCATTACTTATCCAACCAGTCAGCAAAGGGAAGACAAGAACAAATACAAAGTCAAACGCTCAGAGACCAAAGCGGATCATTCTACTCAGAAAAATGAGGCATTTATAACAAGAAAAGGAAATTTCTAAATATCATTGAATTAAACACTGAAAGGGTTATCAAGAGTTTAGAGTCAGACAGAAACCTAAAGTTTCTCAGCTTCCTAATCCTGAGATGAAAGGAAAGAAGGTGGTAAATCTAAGATTAGAAGTAGCCTTGATCTTTCATCTGTTTAACTGCAGAGCTGTCATAATGCAGCAGAAAGAAACGCCCTCTGTGGGCAGACATAGGCTTTACTGTAAGAAACGTTTGATGGGCTGAAGCCTTCTTTCTACTGACAGAATGCACTCCTGTTGCACTGCTTTAAGACAGACAAACCTAATGGAGCCCATGATGCAGGCCAAATCCTCTAGATGGATTCTCAATATCTGTCTAACTTCATCACGTCAGCTCAGTGGACGTCTGTCCACAAAACATCCAATAAAAATAAAGTTGCATTAAAGCTTTCTATTTAAAATCGTAGGGAAGTCATATTTAAATGTCAAATCATTCTGACTTAAACTTGTATATAAATGTATGCTTTATCAGACCATATTGTCCCAAAAGTTAGAACATTTCTATTTAAAAAAGAATTATGTCTTCAAATCTTAAAATTTCCTTACCTTATGCAGGCCAGTTAGTTATACATCAGCCTGAACACCTAATTTCGGTGATAGCATCTTAAATCATATGTTGCAGCTAATATACGCAAACAATTCTTTTCCCATTGAGTTCCGTCCCAGTGTTCACTGGGATGGACGTCTGCATCTTCAGCAGGCGTAGAGCTAACAGAACTGGCAGCGTTGCGAGGCAAGGGCTCAGACATGTACGGCTGTAAGCCTTCTACACCAAACCAAGCTTCTGCATCTTCGTCCTGCTTTCCTCCTCTAAATAAAAAATGTATGATGGAGGAGACTCATCCACCACGTCTGACTCAAACACTCCTCCTCTTGCATGTTTCCGCTGTCCATAGCGTTCCTTGACAGTGTCGTTTCTAAGTCGCGAAATATAGTGCTAGTAGGTTCCCAATGGAATTTTCCATTGGGAACCTACTAGCACTAAGTTGCTAACTGGTTAGCAAGATGCTTCCGAGAAACCGGCCACAATCAAACTTGCTTGCGGAGCTTCAGGCACAACAATCCTGCCCCCTTGATAAACAACCAACCACATTCACTTTATTCACTCGTGTAAAGTCATGCACCACTCAGGAGAATTCAGAACTGCAACGGTTGGAACAGCCGTTTCCCTACGACTTCAGTGTACTGAATTAGTGTTACTTATGGCTCAGGCTAGGTTCAGACCGCATGCAGCAACAGCAGTAAAAACGCACGTGCTGCTTAATTTTTTATGCTTCTACAAGTTTAGTTCTGACACGCAGCTGAAGCACCTTTGTTGCTCTAACCGGTGGGTCTGATGCGTGTTGGGCTAAGCTACCCTATTCTTTCTTTGCCTGTAACAATGGCAGCTATATATGCTGTTATCAATGGGTAGAAATCAGTTGTAAACGTTTTTTATGTTTAAAACTAATGTTTTTGAACAAGATAGTCCACCTGAAAACTATGTGCAGTCAGTTCATCCAGATTACCATCCTGCCTTAAAAAATAATGTTTCTCTGTCTGAGCCGCTCAGACCGCCGGTGTACGGTGCACTAGGAATCCCCTTCAACAACAGCCTCTGGCCCGGTTGCCTCTTTGCGGTTTTCCGCTACTGTTTGCGTGGCTGGAAAGCATTTTTCACGTATATAATGCAAACTAGAGGCACCAGAATAATAAGACTGAACATATTTTGCCGACAGGTTTCGACATTTTAAGGTAATTTAGGCGTTAATAAACCGTTTCAGAGGAGTGATCATAGTTTGTTGCATCAGCAGTGCTCTGTTTGTCTCCCTGCCGGCTCCCAGATCAGCTTCTCTGAAGGGAGTTTTTCCTCTCCACTGTCGCTACAAGCATGCTTAGTGTGAGGGATTGCCTTCGAGTCAATGAGTTGATGCAATCAGCTGGTTTTCCTTACATAGAACACTTTGAATCAATCTGACTGGATGATCTGGTGAACTGTAAAGTGCCTTGAGATGGCATGTGGTGTGAATTGTCGCTATAGAAATAAACTGAATTGAATTCATTGTTTGATGTGAAACTCGACGCAGTAAAAGTTACATTTTTCCAATTCCAGCAGCTGCTGCTTCTGAAGTGCATCAGATGCTCAGAAGCCCGTAAGACATTGTTTCAGCTTCTCTAAACGTGCTGCAGGACCTTTTGCTGCACCTTGATGCGCGTTAACCATTGACCTTGCATGTAAACTAGCTGCTTCTGCCGCTCGCAGTCTGAACGTAGTTTTATAGATTCTACAGCATCCTTCTGGTGCAGCGGTGGACGCCTCACATCAGTGCAGCCTCTAAACAGTACCTATTGAACAGCTCCAGCAGTAATTATCACCTAGTGTGTGAGCAGAGACACAGAGAGCAGGCCGTCTGCAGGCGAAAGCAAAGCTGCACCTGAGGCGTGTTCTCAGGTGAGAGCCGCTGTTCTGTTTCCATCATAAAGTGATGGAGCAGCTGTGTGACCCAGAGGAAAAAGATTCACAGGCTCTATACTTTCCCAACTCCACCTGCAGCTCGCCGGCCTTCTGTAGCTGCTTCATGGGAGCAGCTTAATAAACTCAAAAGAACAAACCAGCATCCTGTAAGGCGGTGCCAAATGCAACAGGAGCAGGAAACAAGGCAAAGCAGCTCCGCAGAGGGCTGAGCTGACATTAATCTCTTAGATCAGGGCAGTAAATGGATCAGCCCAGATGGGCTTTGTTATTTTTGTTCTCAAGAGACATTATGTGTTCTGTGAGTGGATGTGAAATCAGGAAAATGTTTGTGTCTCATGTTTAGTGGGTGAGATATTACAGCTCAGAAGACGGGTTTAAAGTTTGCCACTGGTTGTAAACTGGTGAATATTTTCAGTCATCCAGGTCATAGATATTCCAAATAGGTTAAAAAACAATCTACTGGACTTTGTTTCCAAGTTTGAAGATGTTTCACTTTCCATCCACGAAGCCTTTTTAATTCAAAATGTCAGAAATAGAGTTGATTTCGATGCTTGTTGATTTGGTTTTGTTCACTATAAGAAGGTAGTAGACATTCAGACCAACACTCCATACCAGTTGGTGGCAGTAATGCACCATTTCGTTGCGTTCCAACCGCCAATAAAATCCCATAAAGAAGAAGGAGAACGTTTGCTAATGAGCCATTAGAATGGGAAGTAGTGGCCTTACACAATTGTTCTGATTGCCTACTTCCACTTAGCCTGCCTCAAATAAAATTTTGCTGTGATGGCAGAACATTTTCCATTAATTATTTTAAGAACTTTGTTTCGCAAGTCAGTTTGGCCAAGATTCCATACTGTGTCAATTTTTTTTCCTGTATTGCTGTGCAGAAAAATTGCAGCTGCTGGAAGATGTCTGAGTAATGTTCTATATACTGTTATGGTAACTGTACTTTTTCAATAAATGAATCTAGTATTTTATACGTTCAAAGAGACACAAAACCTCGTTTTAATTCATTCCACTAGTAGTCTGTTTGGATCAAATAGAAATAAAGGCCTGCCTCTAATTCTAGCCTCCTTCCAATAATGGCCTGGATCAAGATGTACCTGAGTGAAATAAAGGCCCCGTCCTATATTAGAGGATTTACGGTAGCTAGTGAGCTTCTGTCAGTCTGGTTTGCTGCTGCTGCTACTTTTAGACACAGCAGGAAAACCTGTGGCAAGCCGGGCGATGGGAAAGAAGGAGAAGATGAAGAGAAAAAGAGAGCAGAGAAAGTGGGGACTGCTGGAAGAACTGTGGTGAACTGGTGAAAGAAAAGTGAAATGGTGCTCAAAGATGACCCTGAACATTTAGAGGATGTTTGGCTCAACCTGCTGCTGCGAAGCAGGATTCTCCACCATGAACAGAATCAAAAATAAATACAGATCCAGGCTCAAAATGAGCTCCTTGATATGTGCTTTAGAATGACTTTGTCTCCATTCAAACCAGGTTTAAAGCCTTGGAGGGCAGCATAAAGCCCACTGCTCTCATTAAGACAGAAAAAAATAACCGTCAGTTTAGGTGTTTTATAAAATATGGGAATTAGTAAATTACTAAACTGAATTGTTGTTCTTTTAGATATTAAAATGGAAAAAAAATTTCTATTTCTTTTTTTAAGTAAATGTATAACATGGATGCATGAAAACCTCATTTT